AACTGATGGAGTTTACGCAGGAACTGTCTTTTTAAGAAAAGGAAAATTCAGCATGACAACTCATTGTGGGGCATTGATACCTAAAAACAAGGATCCGAAATTATTGTTAGACTATGTTTGTTGATATTTATCAGAAAACTTAAAAAAACATGCTTTAGGTGAGCAAAACAAAAGATTAACAGTCGATGTGATTAAAGAGATAAAAATGAAAGTTCCAGCCAATGAAAAAGGCGAATATGATCTTAAAAAACAGCAGGAAATTATTGAAAAATATAAAATCATTAAAGAAATACAAAATGAAGTAGAGAAAAGTAGAAAAGAAATTAGCAAATTAGTTGTAGACATAGAGAGAAAGAGAGAGAGAAAGAGAGAGCAAGTTAGGAATATCAATTGGGAAGCTTTTTGACCTGTCAATGTCCAAGACAAACAACAGCAAGTTTACTAAATCTTTTGTAGATGAAAACCGGGGGCATATACCTGTTTACAGTGCCTCCCAAGATGAGAATTCCATAGATTACGGAAAAATACAAGATAACTTACCTGGCATAAAGTATTTTGAAAATTGTTTAACTTTGAACATAGATGGTTCAGTAGGAAAAATATTTTTTCGTCAGGGAAGATTTAGTCTATCAGAAAAAGTAATTCCTTTAATCGTCAGAGAAACTTATAAGAATAGTGTTGATTTACTTTATCTCAAATATGCTATGGAAAAAGAATTAGTAGAGCGAGGTTTTGATTTTTCTAACAAAGCTGGCAAAAATAAAATAAAAGATATTGAAATTAAAATCTCCATTACTACACAAGGCAATTTTGACTTAATAAAACAAAGAGAAATAGCAAAAAAGTATAAGCAAATTGAAGAAATTAAAGAGAAAATAATAAAAGAATTAGAGAAGATTGAGAATATGAAAGAAAATTTAGGAGTTAGTGAATAGGAAGGGAATACTTAAAAAAATGAATTGCTTTCTTTCCCTAGTAAATCACCATCAAATTAAAGTTAAAAGTAAAGAGGGAATTGTTAAAATTGCTACCAGTGATAATTCTCTTGCTATCCTTTCATTTTTTCAAAACTCACTTTCATAAAAAATGAACCAAAAGAAAAGACTGTTTTAACTTTATGCTTAACTTGTTATGACCACTACCAAGTTTTGAAAAACTTGGAGGAGTAAAATTAAACTAAAAGACTATAAAGAATTATTGGTAAAGTAATACAACAAAACTAAATAAGTAAAAGTTTATTTTTTAATCGCAAACTTGATCTTTTCTTTCTCTTTAAATAGATTATTATTCCTAAGAATGCTATCAAGAAAAGACTCGCTGGAATAACTACTTTTCAAGGAAACTTGTTAGAGTTAGTTTGCTTTTGAGCAGAATAATTTTCCAGATTTTTTAGTGCTTGTTTAATATCATTTTCTTTTTGAGAAAGAAGAGCCTTTTCGTAAATATCGGTGCTAAATAAAAAATTATTTAATTTATCTTTTACTTTTTTAATTTTGTCCTTTTGGCCTGAATTTAAAGCGTCCAAAACCTCAATTAAAATCAGATTTATTTTTTTCTCAGATCCTTTTTCTCCCACATTTTTTGCTATCTTCTTTTCTATTTCATTAACTTGATTCTTATCCTTAATTTCTCCATTTTTTAACTTTTCTAGTTCCTTTTTTAATTCAGGGCTTAGTTCATTCGACTTAATGTCATATTTAGCCATATTTTTTTCAATAGTATTAACCATGATTTGGCAGTATTCTTCTTGACTAACCTTTTTGGATAGTTCATCTTTTAAATTGTCTATCCCTGATTGATTATCTTCATAACTTTGCTGACCCTTGGACTTCTCCACTTCCTCCAACTGTTCTTTTAATTGCTCGGCATTTTTACCTTTGGTTTCCAGATTATTGACAATGTTTTCTGCTTCTTTTTTAGCCTTTCTTTTGGCTACAATATCAGCCATTACTCGGTCCTTTATGCTAATGATATCGTTTTCATTATTAGCCGAATTAATTTTTTTCTTTCAATCCTGATTAATTTCTGATAAATCATGTTTAGTAGTCAATTTTGGTTCCTGGTTAACTAAAGCGTTCGTAATTTCTCGAATAGCATTGTTTTTTGCGGTTTGGAGAGCAGAATTGGTATTATTAGAAGGAGTAGATTCGGGACTTTCTCCGTTATTATTTCCTGCTCCAGAATTTTCATTTTCTTGGTTTAGTTCCAAGGCCAATTTTTTGTTTTTTAATCCCTCTAACACTTCTTCTCCTAACCAACTATTAAAATCCTCGTTATTTCTTGTTTTAACATTCTCTAAGGCTGTTATGGCTTGATTTATCTTGGCTAAACTGCTACTATTTTCGTAAGTATTGCGTGCTTGATTTATAGTTTCCCTTATAGCGTCGAGGTCAGAATTGTTATTATTTTGCTCGCTTTCTTCGTTATTTTGGGTATGCTCATTTAAACGCCCCTCTTGTTTTGCTCGGTGATAACCACAAAGACCATTTACTACTTTGGTATCTTCTTCTACATTACCACCAAACCGGCATCAGTTATTATAACATCCAGAAACTTTACAGGATCGATTGTCTGGAAATAAATTTTTTAACTCTTCATACTGCTCTTTAGAAAAACTATGAGGATGGAGATAACGTATACTTCCATCACTTCTTGTTACTACCATTTGCCTCATGGCAACGGCTGCTCCATCACCAGTTTCATACGCAATACTTGGTAATTGGTCTCTCTCGGGGTTTGTAGGATTTCACCACAGCCTCGGTACCCCCCTGGGCATTTTGGCATGGATAGTCTTTTCGGATAAAGCAAATTGATTAGGGTGTTCTCGCACATAATTTTTGATTTTTTGAAAAATAATTTCAAAATTAATATTTCTTTTATTAACAGCTCCTTTCCCCGGATCTTCATCAGGATTGACAATGATAGTTGTATAGTCAATGTTCACATTGAAGTCATCATTTATTCAATCAATAACTTTTGATTCGGCAGTTTCTCTAACTTCTAAATTAATTGTTCTACTTTCGTTATTAATAACTATTTTTTTAGTTTGGTCATTTAGCGTGAGAAGTTGAATTTGACCATCAGCGATTGAATTTTGAAAATTTATCTCCCTTCCCTCCTTATACCCAGCACCTTCTTTATTAATTGTCCCACCTCTGATGCTTATTTTGCTTATTGTTTCAGTTTTGCCGTTAATTTTAACCGCAATTG